CCATCCATCCATCCATCCATCCATCCATCCATCCATCCATCCATCCATTCACCTATTCACCCACCCATCCGTCCACCCATCCATCCTTCTATCACTTCTATACTCTTACAATACACTTTGGTCTATAGTTTCATCATCATCTAATTCTTTTAACAAACAATATTCTATTATATAGGTACATTTTAATTTTTCTTCTACGATGAACATTCGGTTGTTTTATTTTGTTTTTTCCTACTATATGTGGCAATGCTACCAAACTCATGCATACAGTCTTCATGCTGTTGTTTTTATTTTTGTATTCTCTAAGATGGCATTTCTGATGTCAGTGGTGTATGTAGTTTTATTTGCATATTGCAAAATTATTTCTCAAAGAGTTGGAGCTGTAACCAGCAGTATGTTATAGGGCAAATTCTGAGGCCCATATTGTTGCTGACACGGAATGCCATCATTTTCATACATTTTTTCCTCAATTTGAGTGATAAATAAATAGTATCTCTGCATTTATTGAACACATGCTGTGACCTGTAGTGGGTTTGGACACCTTTCATGTGTTCATTGACAATTTTTTTTTCTATGCTATCACCACATTTGCACAGTGGCCAAGAGAAATCTCAAAAGCAGAGACAGTTGCAGGCATTCCTAGTCTAGGTCTCCATAAAGAACGTGGTGACTTGTGAGTTTTTTGTTAACAGGGATGGCCACTCATGAAGTTGCAGCTAGTACATATGACTTCCTTCCCAGGAGGGAATTAGTAATTTCAGTACTGCTAAAGACAGGCATGGTTATACCATGAGGTATGGTCTAAGTGCATCAATCAGCAGATAGAACTTTCTTCACCTGTAAGATAATCTCATACAGTATTATGGGAAGGTTGAGATATCCCCGCCCCGTCCCCATAGACCTTGTAGAGGGCTGTTGTGGTCTGAGGCTCAGTGGTGGAGGTGGCTGCCTCCTCTGTTCCCATCCCTTTGTGGTTTCTAGGCACAGAGACTGTTGCGTGAGGTTCTGCTGTTGGTGACTGTGGGAGTTGTCCACTGTAGGGTGCGGAGCACATGCCAAAGGTTTTAGTCATTCATAACTCCACACCATCCTGGCTGCCTGCTGAGGGGGGTTGGGAATACTCTGCCTTGAAGCCTGACACATGAAGCTGGAAAGTCGTGCTCGGAGACGGGTCAGCATGTGGTTCTGCAAGAGAAGACACCCAGTAAATGCTAGTCCTTCACCAGCAGTCATGGTTGGTGATGCTTGGTAACCCTATGAGGCCCACATTTGACAGAAGGGAGATTTGTTGATTAACGACATTTCAACTAGTTTTGCAAAGCCAAGTGGCTCACTTACTGAGTCTGAAGTCGTATTTAAACCATGGGTTTGCATGTGTGTTCCAGTGTTTCTTCATGTTCCTAAGGGGCCTGGTGCCTTCTATAATTTTGACTTTTCAGTGTCAGATGCAGGTTTAAGGATTTGGGAAGAATACATGCCATTTTCTGTCTCTGGAGAGCAGCAAGAAGACGGGACTTTGGCACACGAAGTTCCCCAAAACATCCCTGGGAAGGAGGACAGCCCGGTACAGACCTGTGTGGATCCTGGTGCGAGGGTCCATTGACTGGTGGCAAAGAGGCAGTGGGACTAAGACCCCGTTCTGTGCTTGCCCATAGCCTCACGGGCCTCAGAGACACCACCACTCCTGCACATATTGTTGGGAGTCTGAGCCAACCTCATGTGACACCATTTGCAGAGGCATAGAGCCTTTCATGGTATTAGGGTCACATGCCAAGCAGCCAAATAAATTCCATGTATGCACTGCCTCTGCCTTATTTATTGCAGAATGAAGCCTTATCTTAATTCCTTGGCTCTGCTTGTTTTCTTTCCCTGTATTCAGCATGTAGTGACACTCCAGCAGTCTCCAGACTTGATTCCTTTCCTAAGGCTTGGTGGATGGAGTTGTGAGATGGCAATCATCTGTGAAGAACCCGAGGAGCTTGTGTGTGTCCTTGTGTTGGGATGTAGTAGTGTAGGCATGGACAGAAAAATCATCCAAAGATTATATATGTGCATTTGTGTGTGTGCACTTGGGTTCATGCATGTATGTGTGGTATGTGTGTGTGATATGTGTGTGTATGTGTGTGCATGGTATGTGCAAGCATGCGGATGCATGTATGCATGTATGTGATGCATGCCCATGTGTTCGTGGCGTGTGTGTATAAGTGTGCATTTGTGTATATGCACATGGTGTGTGTACATGTGCATGCATGTATGGATGTGTTTTGTATGTGTGCCTTGGTGTGTGTATGTGTGTGATGTGTGTGCATGTGTGTGTGCATGTGGTATGCATGCATGTGTTGTGTGTGCATGTACTTGTGTGTGTCTGCTGTGTGTATATAAGTGTGCATATGGTATGCGTGTGTGTGATATGTGTATATGTAAATGTGTGTGTGCCTGTGGTGTGTGTGAATGTGTGTGCATATTCATGCATGTATGCAGGTGATGTGTGTGCATGTGCATGCACGTGGCATGTGTGCATGTGTGCATGTGTGTGCACGTGTGCACATGACATGTATGTATGTAATGTGTGTGCATGTGTTTATGTGTGTGTGTGTCTGTGTATGTATACGTGTGCATATGGTATGTGTGTGATGTGTGTGTAAATGTGCATGTGGTATGTGTTTATGTGAATGTGGGTGCATATGCATGAATATGTGTGTTGTGTATATAAATGATGTATGTGCATGCATGTGTGTGTCTGTGTTTTGTATGTGTGTGTTGTGTGCATGTGCATATGTGTGTGCATACAGTTTGTGATGTGTATTTGCATGTGCATGCACATGTGTGCCTGTGATTTGTGTGTTTGCATGTGCCTTTGGTGTGTGTATAAGTGTGTATGTGGTGTGTGTGTGTGGTATGTGTGTACATGTGTATGCGTGTGGTATGCATGAGGTGTGCATATGTGTATGTTTCTATAGTTCCCCGTTAAAAAGCAAAAGGATGCAGGGTACAACTGGCTAGTAATAAGTCATTGTGTTTGTATTTTAACACTTTAGGACTAAACTATACATCCATGGCCTTTTGTGAGGAAGGAATTGAATGAAAGGTAAAGCCACCTCACCACTTCAGTTATAGCCCGTTTTTCTCTTCCATGAAGGGAGATGCTCACTGATTTACCCTTGCACATACACGGTTGTGTGGAAGATGACTGTGGTCCCTGTTGCCGTCTGGTCGTTGGATAGTGGAGGTGAACAGTTGTGTTCTATAGGCCTTCAGCTGCACCACACAGTGCAGGTGGGTCTTGGTTGCCCATGTGCTCATGGTGAAGTGTACATACCTTACAAAACATTACTAGCTATCTGAGTTTCACAATGTTGTAAATCTGTGGTGCCTCCTATGAAGTGGGTTTTCCCACATCTTGCCACCTCTTAGATTCCATGTTCTCTCCACTGAGATGGTTCCTGGGAGAAGGTCAGTGATGTGCTCATTACACAGTGATCTGGGGCTGATTTCATGAGGTAGCTAGCATTTCTTCCTAATTTTGTGCTAGTCACCACTAAAAATTCTTTCTCTTCACATGTGGAAATATCTTTATTGTTTTTTTCTGATTATTAAAGAAATGTGATGACAGTTAAATAAACATGTAAGAGAAGGAAATTGTCCATAAAGCCCACTGCATTATCAATTTTGAATATATCATACCTTCCATATATTTCTGTGTACATACAATTTTTACTGCAAATTTAATCTGTTTTTATTTAATTTTTTTCTGTATTTGCTATGTTAAAAATACAGACACACAGTTGCATAACATCACATTCTGGGATTATGCAATAATGCTTTTAACTAATCCCCTATTGATGGCATCTATGTAATTAATTATTTCTTGTTATTCTAAATCTTCCTGTATGAAAGTGTTAATTCCTCACTGTTCACAGCACAAAGTCTTGTCAACTGAAGTGTTATCATTACAGCTTTTGCTCCAGTGTTATATGATTCTTAGATGAGTGTTGTGACCAAATGTCTTCGTTGATGCATGTTACATAATATTATACCTTCTTTGGTCTTTCCTGTTTAAATCTTTTGTCAACAATTTAATTGAGGTATTTATTATTGGTATGTAAGAGCTCTGTATTAAAGATACAGAGAGAGGTTGTCAAAAATAACATGAAGAAGAAATCTGGGACCACTTGAAATAAGGGAAGGAGCCCAGTAATGTGTGAGGCTATTAGCAAGAAAAACATCAAAAAAATATTGCTCATCATGAGGACTCTGAGTGATTGACCAGAAATTAAATTACAGTAGGTAGAATTTCTTTAAGGGTAAATGACATATTTCAGAAAGTGGCTTGTTGAAATTCATGAAACTAAAAATGAGGACGATGCTTGGGCCAGTGTGATGCCATCCGGTGGACCATCTGGGAGAGACACATGGCTCATTCGTTCCTTTCCAAATGCATCAACCTAGCATAGGGTGGCAAGGCCCGAGGGGAACACACAAATGCTTCCACAATTATTATTTCATAGAAACCAAAGTACTGAACAATCATCAGTCTGTGTTGATTGAAAAGGAAACCCTTTAATCTTTGAAAACTAAGAAACTTTGGGGAAGATCTGTATAATTGTTAAACAGTTTTGTATTGGATGAAATTAAGTGAGAATGTCATTGCTGGCATAGACCTAGTTAGGAGTTGGGTGAATAGCCTCTTGTAAGCTTTAGATCATAGAATTACATGCGTCATTATGTTAACACTCTGCCTCTGAGGTAGGTGTTTTAGGAACATCAATGGCCTATAGTCACTCGAATCTTAGTTCTAACAAGCACTGTTCATCCTTGAGGTGAGTGCCTACATCTTGGCCTGAGAGGGGCTATTCCAGGTGGCTCCCACTAGGAGGGAGGGAGATGCTCCTTGTCTTTCCCCTTTTGTCATGTCCTGAGGCATAATATGGCATCTGCATTTGGCTCATGACAAGCCCTTCCGATTGACTGAGGAGGCAAGACAGTGGGAGATGCAGAGACCTGTCTACAGTCACACAGCAGAATCGGTGATGAGTGCTGAGCAAGTGCTCAGAAGCAAGACTTGTCTCTTAGAACAAGGATAACGGACAACACAGCTACCAAACACTAGATATAATGCCCAGAGTGCATCGCAGGCAGGCACAAGCATTCCCATGAGTCAAATTTGGTTTTAAGAAGTATTTAATTGCTCTGAAAAGGTGAGTCTGTAATCTGTAAATTACCTGAAGAAAATGAAAAAGAAAGACTTTTTTTTTTTGAGTTGGAGTCTCACTCTGTCACCCAGACTGGAGTGCAGTGGCAGCTTCCAGCCACCGCAGCCTCGACCTGCTGGGCTCCGGCGATCCTTCCGCCTCAGCCTTCCACATAGCCGGAATTACAGACATGCGCTACCACACCCGGCTGATTTTTTGATTTATTGTAGAGATGAGGTCTCGCTGCCCAGGCGGGTCTCGAACCCGCGGGCTCAGGCAATTCACTCACCTCAGCCTCCCAAAGGCGCGGGATTACAGGCTGAGCCACCGAGCCCGGCTAGAAAGACTTTAAAAGAGGCCTTGTGAGTCTTTTTATTTTTATTTTTTACTTACCCAGCATGGCGAACTATTCCAGTGAGCATGGTCGGGACATCGACTTCCTGGGTCAGTACAATGCAAAGATTTCCTCCTCTTCATTTCTCCCAGTCCAAAGTGCCTTGACGAATCTCACTCACAAACCCAAACAAACAAAACAGGCAAACAGAAGACAGTGGATTGGTGCCTCACGTGGACCTGAACCATTTGGTTATGAACATTTGCTAGGTTGTTTCCATTATGTCAGCTCCATCCTGCCCCGAAAGGGAGGCAGATATTGCAGGCTGCTTTCACTGCCTGCTTCCAGGCCTCAGGCAGAATCCTGACACACGAGGAATCTGTGAGCAAGTGGGCACATGCATGTTTCCATGTGTTCCTGTGGGCGTCCCTTCCTATCACCACACCACCCCCACCTCCAAGGTGTCCTGTCCTACACTGCACAGGGTGGGTCACCTGTTTTTGAATTTTGTACTTGTGGCACTGAGCTGTCTTTTGTGTCAGCTTTTTTGCTTCCCTGTTCTGTCTGAGCCATACCCCGCTTTTCTGTGGGATGACAGTCCACACATGTCCACCCCACACACTGCCCACTGCACAGACCACTGCCACTCATCTTCTCTGCTATGGACAAATGTTCCGGCTGCTTCTTCTGTGGCCCCAGCAGGCAGTGCTGCTGTGCCACTGTGCATCCGTCAGACTGGATATGCTTGGAGGAGGAATTGCTGGGTCCTAGATAATGCCCATTGGGGAATCTGTCTGTCTGTTAGGCAGTTGGTGAAATGGGCGGGTCACAGGGAGACAATCTGGTGGGTCTTACTGTGTCTGCCCCCGTAACTCATACCCTTTTGAGACAGAAGGAGCATCTCCTGTGAGCTGGAGGGACACTTGCTGCCCATGGCCCCGTCCACACACATCCGCTGGTCCTACTTCTAATGTCTTGGACTGGCGTTGCCTGTTCTAGAACCTCATGTAGATGCAGTCACACAGCCTTTTTGTTTTTGGCTTCTTTTGCATGAGTTTAAAATAAGTCTAGCCTGTTTAAAACTGATAACTTACTTAAAGTCAGACTTATATAACTTATTTCAATAATCATTTAAGTATACTTATTTAAATTGAATTAATAAATATAGTTAAATCAGTAGACATTTATGAAATCAACTAAATATAAATATTTAAAAATTAATTAGATAATCCCAAAAGACAAGGAATTAAGTTCTACACATAGTCTCTTGCTTTTAG